AGCGGTTCTGAAGGCACGGGGCTTCCACAAAACTGGGTGTTTTCAGGAACCGTTTCTGGTTTTGTCTAAACACACACACAGCCACTTATTCCCTATGAATTTTGTGTATATCAATCAAAATAGTTATGGTACTTAGTGTTGGGGTAGAATTTTTGTCTAAAAGGTACAAACAACCTTTATTTTTGCGAATTTGATAAAGGCTCCTTCTCCATCAAGACCTAACATCTGCAGGACTGTTAGCTGAGGAAGGAGTGAGCCTGCCTACTTTGTTGGTTTTGTTTCCTTTTTGTGGCTCAGAGGCACCCATTACATTCTCTGTGTATTAGGGTCCCTTTTTTTTGTCTTAACACCAACTGGAGTTGGGAACTGTGTTTTACTCCTTTGGTTTTGTTTGTTTTTAACCTGGGATGTATTTAAGCCTCTCACTCACCTGGGGCAGAACTCCCAGCTTCTGCCTGAGGAGCTGATGCTGCAGGACAGAATCCTCCTGGAGAAAGGAGGGCCTCGGTCCTACCTGCAGGCAAGCAGAGGGTCTCAGGGGCTTCCAAGACAGGCAATCTGTGGGACACTGACCAGAGGTGGCCTCTGTGGTCACGTTCAATTCTAAGAGAAAAGGATTTAGAGCTTTGAGTCTCTGATTTAAAAATTCATTGATTCTCAGTGCAGTGGGACCTCTAAAAGCCCTTCTCTGCTCCCACCCCCTTCCTCCCTGCCCCGGGCCAGTGTAAGTGAGCAGGCAACCTGACTTTACTGTCTTCATGTGCCACATCCTGTTTTCAGATTAATGAGCTCATTTGGTGGAAATTTACCAAGGGAAATAGTTTAATTTTGGAAAGTACCAAAAACTTATCTGTAGTCACTCGACTTACTTTTGGGGGCTCTTGAAATAGAGGGGGCATCACCAGGGGACCTCTGAGCACTCAGCAAGTGGCAAGCCTGCAGAAATTGAAAGTGGAGGCCAGTGAGGCTTAACCTGACTCAGAAAGGAATCGAAACCTTTTGGAGACCACTCATCTCTACCCAGTAGAAAAAAAAAATTTTTTTCCCAAAAATAAGTTTAAGAAGAAAAGTAGTCCATCTGGCTAAGGCCTAAGATCTGGTGGTATAAACCTGGGGCCATGATTGGGGTACAAGAAAGCACACACAGGGAAGTAGGGAATGTTTGAGCCTCAGCAGAGGCTCACTCACATCCACAATCTGCTCTGCTTGTTCTACGAAGCACCAAAAGGTTTCCATTCTCCAGTTTTGCCCCAATCCTTCAGCTGTCAGGCTCTTAACATTGAAGTTGCCTGCTAGCCTTGTAGCCTTTTGAGCTTGTAACTCCTGCAAGGAACTAAGGACTGAGTGGCTAGGAGGACTATGGAAAATTAAAGTTTGGTGAGCCATTCTGCATTGAAGATGGTAGAGCACATGTGACAAGCCCCATAAGTGTCTGACCTCCTCCTGGCCTGCCCTGTTTCCTAGAGGAGAGATTTTTCATCCCTTCTAAGATGCAGAAGAGAAAAATGGTGAAAACTGACAAGGCGCTGACAGTTCAGTACTGGAATGAAAGGAATTGTGTCTTCCTTCTCTGCCCCCATCTGAAATCCATAGTGATATTTTGGAGGACATATTTCTATTTTGGAATGAGCACTGGACTAGGAGTCAGGATGCTTGTGCTCTTTTTTTTCTCCCTGCCACTAAAGTATTTGGGGGGGGGGTAGATAAATAGATGAATGCTTAAGCAATAATTCAGGAAATAATAGTCCATAGTTTTTTTCTTTTTGGATGTTTGTTTTTTAGTGGAAAATGACCTTAAAGATCATAGAATGCATTGGGTTTTTTCAAAATTTGTATTAGCTGTGGGACTGTGTCTTCAAATGCTTTTTCACATAGCACCCAAATGTACAAACCAGCTAGAAGCAAGGATTTTCTGTTAAGCGGAGCAGGCAGCTGGGAGCCTGTGCGCTGGGCTTCTCTCCTCCCTGTCTGGGCCTCTAGGCTCTAGGGACACGGTTAAAAAAAATCATGGATCTAATGAGTTGCTCCCAGGTCCCAGAGGTGGAAACTGGGATTCTCTCCTGGGCTGGCTTGCCTCTAGTGTCCCAGCCATTCAACCTTTTCTTCAATAACTGTGACTTTCCATGTGTTATAGTCCAGATGGGCATTGGAGGAGGGAAAGATTACATTGGCCTGGGTCATTAGCCTTCCAGGTGGTGAGGGGGCAGGACCAGATTGGAGCCTAAGCATCTAGAGGATTGAGGTCAGTGGTCATGGTAAAAATAACAGTGACAGTAATAGTGGCTACACTTTATTTAATATCAGTCACAGTGACACTGCTCTAATCAAAGCACATCACATGCCTTGCTCCATTTATTAAGATCATCAAGAAGAGATGAGAAAACTGTTTTTCTCCTTTCCAAAAGCCAGGCCCCAGATTATAGCAGTAAATGAGGCAGACCGAGCTCCTGTTCTCAGGACAGCTGCCTCCTAGATATGAATGCACCAGCTGAGCATATCCAGTCAGCTAATGCCAGCCATTTGGGCTGCTTCTGTTTGTCAGCAACCATTAAAACGTGGAGCCCATAATGGGCTACTACTCCCTCTAGTCATAAATACCAAACATTCCTCATTTTGCCTCTATATTCCTTCTTTTCATTGCCAGCTGCAGGCTTTGTCCCTGTCATACTCACAGCTTGTGTTTAGTAAAAACAATTAGTGAACAGCTTTCCTGCTAGCATCATCTAAATCTCCTCTGTAAACTTCTGGTTCCCGAACCAGGAAATTTAATTAAACAGATGATTACATGTTATCAGTCACCTAGTAGATTAGAAGACCAAATTGTCCTGGGTTCCTCAACCCAAATTCAATACCTCCCCGTGGTAACTCACACACAGCTGATACCAACAATAAAACAAAGAAATATACCAAATGATCTTGTAAAAACTGTAGCCTATAGTACACCTTCTCCGCTTTGGTGTGATGATTTAAAATGTCCCAAGTTTCCTTCTGTTAATCTCCATCTGGTTCTTACTATACTTATTATAACTGGCAATTTATAAAATGTGCCTGTTTACAATTATTTTTCTGCCCCACTAGACTATGTGAATTATATGAATATGAGAAATTAAGTTAATTAAAGGTGTTAAAGTAAAGCTGTGTCTGATTTCTTCATTGTTCTTTCCCCTGACTTAGCACAGAGGAGGCTGTCAATAAACATTTGTTCAGTGAATGACTAATACTCAAGACACTATCCATAATCATTTTTACTTAAGGTAATAATCATTAATGATGATTTCACCATCATCACAAAATGTTTATTAAGTATCTTTGGCCTGGCCCTTTTCAGGGTGTTGTGAAGTTAGAAATAGCATTCTAACAAAAATTTGAAAAGAAATCTGGGGTTCTTTTTTGAAGGGAGTTTCTATGTATGGTGATTTTCCCTATCTCAGTAGATTTCCAGATTTTAAGGAAAGAAACAAAGCACCTCAGAAGTTTCTTGAATTGTAGGCTCCAGAGCTGTCCCTAGGGGTTTTCCAATTATTTGTGGGGCTGGCCACTTTGAAAGTGCCATGGGGATTTCACTTCGTGATGGAGGTACCAATGACACTCACGGGGATGGTAAAGTGGTCCAGGCAAAGAGCTTGGTAGATGGACCCTTTGATAAAGACAAGCTCTTAAGAGGCCAATAATGAGGAAAGCAGACAACTTTGGGTCAATGCTGGTCAACCTGCTGCTTCTCTTTGCCATCTCTGGGCCCTCATGTGCCTCGTTCTAAAAGTTTGCTTTTGCTACGTGTCAAATTCCTTCTTTCATGGACTCTGGCAATAAAGACTCTTCTTATTTTTATTTTATTTATTTATTTATTTTGCGGTACGCGGGCCTCTCACTGTTGTGGCCTCTCCCGTTGCGGAGCACAGGCTCCGGACGCGCAGGCTCAGCGGCCATGGCTCACAGGCCCAGCCGCTCTGCGGCAAGTGGGATCTTCCCAGGCCCGGGGCACGAACCTGTGTCCCCTGCATCGGCAGGAGGACTCTCAGCCGCTGAGCCACCAGGGAAGCCCTAAAGACTCTTCTGAAGGTGGGTGCCTGGACCTCCAATGCCTTTTACTGGGCTACAGAATTATTGCTCTTCCTTCACACTTACATTTGTGAGGTTGGGTTTCCCGGGCTCTTTGCTGGATCAGATCAAGAATATCTTGATGTTCTAGCCTCAAAGCAGTTGATATCTGCCTGAGGAGCAATGCATCCTGGGGGTCCTCCTCTCCCTCCATCCTGAGGACTCAGCCTGAGAGAGAAAAATCAGTGAGTGAACAGAGCCCTTACTCAGGAATCAAGAGATCTGCCTCTGACATTGACTTCAGGACTGTGGGGAAAGTCCATCCCATCCTTGGGCCTCCTTTTTCCCATCTGCAAAGTGGGAGAATGACCTCAGAACAATCCTTCAGGGCAAATTCTTTAACCATTCAAACCCTGGTGCTGGGGAAGGGGTACAACTCTCCTACCTGTTGAGGGGCTGCTGTCCTTACCTGGACCAGGAACCCCTATAATGGATGCTGGAAGCTTCCACTAGATGCCTGGTCTTTTTGGACTACAGACTTTTTTTTTCAAGAAATAGCAATGAGAAAAACCTCCTCTGATGGATTTTTTTCAGCGCTCAAGCCAGATGAATTCCCAGCACAAGCCAAGACTTGGGAGCAAGTATGTGGGGCAGGGAGTAAGAGGCTAAGAACCAAAGGGCTGCAGCCTGTGTTCCCTAAAAGAATACCCAAGCTGGGGGCTGGGGTTGTGAACGTGGGATTGATGTTTGTTCATCTCTTCTGAGCTTCTTGTCTAAAAAAGGGGAAATGGGGGCTCAGATTGGGGAAAGAGCTTGCACTGTAAATCAGAGGTCCAGAGGCATCTTCTTCTATGTTCTGGTGTCTTTTGACCCCAAATGTCTCAATAATACCCCTGTCCTTTCTTGTTCCTGCATTCATTTCTTCCTGGACATCTCTCCACAAGACTGAGTTTCCTGAGAGCCAGGGAGCAAGGTGTATTCATCTTTGTAGTCCCCTCGTACCCAGCCTACATCTCGCACACTAGTAAGTATCTATTAAGAGAGACTGATTTGCCATCTTAAGAGGATCCAGGAATATTAGGAAAACATCCATCCTACCTTTCACATCTGTGGGTTCCCAAAATGTGTTTAACAGTTATATTTTTAGCTTCTACAATGAGGCTATTTGCTCATTTTTAGAAGAACCATAGTATGGACATCTAGAAAAATTTTCTTTTTCTGGGAGATCATTGCCTTAATCATTTTGGAGCTAGGATGCAGGAATTTTTAAGATACAAAATCAAATACACAAGAAAAGTTAGTCTGTCTGGCTGCCATCCTTGGTTGCTATCTTCTGTAACCAGCATCCAGCTACACAGCCAGAGAGCTTTGGAGAGGGCCCACAGTGGTCTCCATCCCCTCTGATTGCTGAAACCAGAGCTTCCTGGGGAGGCCAGGGCCCTGGCATCAGTCCCTGCCTGGTCCTGCTTCTCTGTTCACAGAGAATGTGTTTGCACATGAGCTCTCCCAAGCCACCTTGGAGTCCCTCCAAGGACAGGCCTGGAAGCCGGCCAGGAGGGAGGGTGCTCCTGGAAAGGACACATCTCTGGGAAGCAGAGACCGTGGCATACAGGTACACACATGCAAATACTTGCAGGATGGCCACATCTTCCAAGGTTTCAAGAGAACCTGGAAATCTGGATTTTTATGTGCAATGTCTTGATTTTTAGAACGCTCCGAAAAATAAACCCTAACCAAATGAGCATCCCCACAAACTGTCTGAGGGCCACGATTTACAACCTCTGGTAGAGCCTGGCATGTCACACACATGACCTAAGCAGGTAAGCTAATGCTCTGCACGTAGCTCACTGGGACTACACACACCATATATGCTTATCCAGGGTTAGACCTTGTGCTCACCTGATAGAGACCAGTCATCAAATATTTACACATGCTTGCTATCTCCTAGGATGTCCTTTTAATATTTTCACTTTCCAGCTAAGGAGACTGAGTATCAGGGATCTCCAGGGTCATGTAGCTGGTGGGTGGCTGGACTCACATCCCAGGCTGCCTGGCCACAAAGCCAGCACTTGCCCCCCACTCACCTCCGGGATGCCTGCACTCTGAACTGAAATGTCTGCTACTCTGCATCTCTCAGTAAACTCAGTTCCCTGAGTTCAGGGGCTGTGTTTCATTTGCTGTTGCATCCCCATCACCTA